CAATATAAGGTAGAATAGAAAGGCAAGCATAAAGGCATTCATAAGCAGACCACTGGAATATGTCCACCTCTTCTGCTCACATACTATTGGGGACCACCTCCTTGCATACACTCTATCCCCACACTCACAAATGAGTCCACCCATGCAACTTCCATTGGCTCACTAGCTATCCACTGGGAAGATATCCGACATCTTTGCTACTTATTTTAACCAGGCTTAACTCTTCACATGAAATATCAAGAACATCTTTTTAAAGGAATTTCAATTACTATTCCCCCATCTTGTGTGAGCTGGGGAAGTAGTCGGTCAGAGAAGAACTTCTGATACAGAATTACTTGACCTCTCCACTACACTCTACCAGAATGGGTAGATGACTACTCAGACACATTCAGCATTTTGGAATCTACTAAAGACAAAAAACCACACACACACACACACACACACACACACACACACACACACACACGTGTGTGTGTGTGTGTGTGTATGTATGTATGTATGTATATACATATATATGTATAAATATATAGTTGTGTTTACTGTAAATGAATATATTTGTTTAAAAGCCAGAAAGAGACTCCATAGGAAGTCAGCTCCCCCAGTCTACAAAGGTCAGTAAATTCACACAAAATCAGAAAAAGATAAATGCATGCTCTTTTGCCAAGAATCCACTGTACGTGATTTATTGAAAGAAGTTCAGTTCTAATTTAATAATTAGCATTAGGAAATCAATAACTTGGTGACAAGGACAAAGTATAAAGTGTCCTCCTCCTCCACTTCCTAATGAGGATGGATAATAAGGAACAGTGTTTGGTTTTGACAAGCCTCACAAGTTGGGATGTCAGAGAGAAGGCAGAGAAGATGAAAATGAAATATCAAATGATAAACTAATGCACTCTAGGGTATATAGCTGATCAAGAAGAAGGACAGGGTAGAAGAAAGAGAGAGAGAAGGGGACAGAGAAGAAGAGGAGAGGGAGGAGAGAGGAGAGGAGAGGAGAGGAGAGGAGAAGCAAGGAGAATTTTCAACATTTACTGGAATGAATGGGAATTGATGATAGTGTATTTAATGAGAATCTGTGAAAATTTTGACAATAGAACATGACACACATACACCTCTCCTGCCAAACACACACACACATCACACATATCCATACCTCTTCAAGGCCTTCAACAAGGACCTACATTGTTTTTGCAAGGCTCCTTGGGATTGCATTTGTGATTTCTTTAATGGCATCACCTGCTGAGGTGAGCCTTCAGGCAAAAGTAAACAGCCTAGGCAGACAAGATGATGTGTGCTAAGAGATTTCACAGCAATAAAAATATAAATAAATAAATAAATAAATAAATAAATAAATAAATAAATAAATAAAGTACAAATGCAAACTATTTCATTTTTTTCTCTGTTTCTGTCTGTCCCCCTCTCTCTCTTTCTCCCTCTACTGTGTGTATGTGTGTGTGTTTCTGTGTGTCTGTGTCTGTGTGTGTCTTTGTGTGTGTAGATGCACATGTGTGGGAATTCTTTTTTTATTTTATAATTAATTTAATTTTACATATCAGCCATGGATTCCCCTGTCCTACCTCCTCCCACCCCCTAGCCTTCCCCCCCAACCCTCCCCCATTCCCATCTCCTTCAAGACAAGGTCTCCCCTGGGGATTCAGCTGGGCCTGGTAGATTCAGTTGAGGCAGGTCCAGTCCACTCCTCCCTACACCAAGGCTGAGCAAAATGTCTCAGCATAGGCCCTAGGTTCCAGAAAGCCAGCTCATGCACTAAGGACAGGTCCTGGTCCCACTGCCTGGGGGCCTCCTAAATAGTTCAAGCTAATCAACTGTCTCACTGATCCAGAAGGCCTGATCCAGTTCCATGGGGACTCCTATTTTGGGCAGTTGCTCTTAACATCAGTAATGTACTTTGCTTTAGAATTCCAATTAAAATTAAGTGACTAAATGCATGAATAAAATGGGAAATAATAGCACTGTAATTTTTCTGGAAACATACAATGTTCCTTACAAGTGAAAATGACTTAGGAACATGGGGAATGAAGGGAAACCTGCTTTTAGGCTTTGCATATGAACTTAAGGAAGAATGAGCCTACTGTTGAGATCTTGACACTACACTCATTTGATCCAAAGGAATAACAAATGTAGAAAACCAGTAAATAGGCATCATTAGGGCTCACCACTGTGACCTGTGATGAACCAGGTGCAGGTAAAAGACACTGATGTGTTTTTCACTCCTATAGAAGGTCAGTGACAACTTCACAGATCACAAAATGTATTAAGTATGATACAATGGACCTAAAAACTGCAATAAGCTCCTGGCAGTCTCATTATCAATGCTGAACACTTTCTGGGAGCAGGCAGATGGTTTTATTGTTTCTTTGATCAGCCTTCTCTCTTTGCTCCTCTTCCCCTCTGGACATCCATCCAACCTCCTCTCCAACTTAGCAACAGATTCCACTCACATCCCTGGGCATTTATAACCTTGACCTCTTTCCTGAGCACCAGACCCAGATTTCCCACAGGCTTGCTGGGTCCAGACAGATGGATGCCTGTTGGCACCTCCTAGTCAGCAGGGCCCCAAATGAATCTTTTTGGCAGAGTCTGCAGCATTCCCTCAAGCTCTTGTGAATGAGGAAAGGAAAACACATGGGTTAATTCTCTAGTCTAAGGTCACTGCACAACCATTAATACACAAAGTCAGAATTTGAACCCTGAGCTCCCACTTCCAAATCTCATACCTGTTTCATTGATCTGTCTCTCCTCAAGCTTACTCATTGTCTCTGATGCCATCTTTCCATAGCTCTAACACAAACAGAGAAGGTGATCTAAACTGCCTATCATTCCTCACTCAACTTTTCTTCCTAATGTTGCCATTCATGGTTCCCTAGCTCACTTAGAATGGAAATACCACCGCACTACCAATAAATAGCAAGTAAAACAATAGGCTCTGGACCCAGACTTCCTTGATCCAAATCTCAACTCTAACTTCTATTAGCTGTGTGGTCTAGGAAAGTTTGTATTTGGTTTTCCAGTCTATAATATAATGCAGTTGGTTATAATGATACATAGCTTCACTATAAGGAAATGAGTTAATATGTGTAAAGGGATTTATCATTCCTATTATATGAAAACCAGCTTGCTCTGTTTTGGCTCTGTGTCCCTCTACAACCTGACACTTACCTTCCTATTAACCATAATTCTTCAAGTACAGAGACCCCTACCAGATTGACCTGGTACAGCTCTATGAGTAATTTCTTTCTGTCCTCATGCCTCAGATATTTGCCCAAATATTTCCTCAGCTTGGTAGAGCTTTGCCAGTCTCTATTTCTGGTGTGTAGCAGAGAAAGTTGCTACAACCAGATCCCATTTAAAAACCTCATATCTTAGACTGGCCTCAAACTAGCTATGCAGCTCAGGATGGCCTTAAACTTCAGATCTTTCTACCTCCACCATTCCAGGCCTAGGATATAGATATATACTAGAGTGCCTGGTTTATGTGGTGCTGAGTACCAAACCCCAGGGCTTCATGCATGCTGGACAAGCACTATACCAATTGAAATACATACCCAGCCCTTTGACTTCCTAGTCAACTAGCATCCATTGATGACCCTATCAAGGGCACTGTTATAGTTTATGATGCCTGAACTTGAATTTTCTGCTCTTTCCTGTCAAGTTGGAGCCCATTTAGCCTGCCTATACCTAAATTCCTGGTACGCATATAAACTCACAGAGACTGTAGTATCCTGCACAGGGCCTGCATAGGTCTGCACCAGATGGGATTTTAGAGCTGAAAGGAGAAGTGGACACATGCTTGCATCCCTAACCCAGAAGCTACCTCCCAATGATAACCACTTGCAAATGAAACAGTTTTCTTCCAGGGAGTCTCACTGGGGAAACAAATCACTCTTCAGGGTAGGCTATACATCCAGTAGTAGATGGCCAATAGAAATTGAAATCAATGACATCTTTGGGAGTTCTTTGTCTCATAATGTTAAGTCAGGGTACTTTTTTTTAACCTTTCAGGTTCTTTGTGTATATATTATGGCTTCTAGTTTTATATTTTTATAGGACTCCTATGTGTGTGAATGTATGTCCATGCATCTATATGCATTTCTTACACTTTTTCTTTGGCTCTTTTTGTCTGGTTGCTTTGTCCTATTCCAATTTGTTTGTTTTTGTTTTACCTTATGTTACTTTATTCTTGGTTTTTAGATGCCTGTTTGTTTTCTAAAGAGAGACAGAAAAGGTGTGGATCTGGATGGCAGGGAAGGTGGGAGGAACTTGGAGGAGTAGAGGGAGGGGAAACTGTAATCAGAATATGCTGTGTGAAAAAAAACTATTTTCAATAAAAGAAAAAATAAAATAAATACTCCTGTGTGTGTGTGTGTGTGGAGAGAGAGAGAGAGAGAGAGAGAGAGAGAGAGAGAGAGAGAGAGAGAGAGATGAGAAAGAGTGTGTGTGTGTGTGTGTGTGTGTGTGTGTGTGTGTGTGTGTGTATGCCGTGTTGTACCTAAACTGTAGTAGATACTATTTAAAAGTAAGTGGCCTGGAACACAGTTCATGAATGCTTGCTTTAGGTAGAGAAACTTTATGCTTTACTATATTGGAAATTCATTATAAAAGATATAGATTTGCCAAAATCCAGAGGCAATATCACTTCTTTGGTAACTAATTACTTTCTTTCTATTTATTTAGTCTTTTTTCTCTTTATATGGTAAGGACAGAAAGCAATTCTGTGTGGACTTCCAGACTTAGTTCTGAAGGTCTGTGACATATTTATTTTTAATTTCAAAACCCATCAAAACACCAGAAAGGGGACATTATTTAAAATCTCCTTGAATCAAGGCCTGCTCACTCCATTGTTGGAAGACAAGAAAGGTCATCGGATAGTGTGTGGAAGAGTCCTAAAAGCCAACCAGCCAAAGCAAATGGAATAAAGAATTAAAAGCTTAAGGGTAAGAGTCAGAGAGAGTTCAAATCTTGGAGCTGTCACTTACCAGCTGTGTGACCTCATGCCACTGAACTGCTCTGTGCCTCAGTTTCCTGAACTGTAAGTAGGGACACTAATGCCTGTCTCATAAAACAGCAGAGTGCCTGTAAAATAACAAATACTTAGTAAATGGCGTATGTTGGTAACAAAGATAGCAACAATAATAATAGCTTGGGAAAACAACTTTGACCTTTTCTACAGCATCACTCATCAAATTGCATTCTACTTGGATTAGAACAGAATCTGAAATTTGGCCATAGAGGAAAAAATGAAAGCATTTTAAGACCACTCTTCTTTATGCTTCCCTCCCCTGCATCCTTTCCTTCTGATCCGTGTTTTAGTTCATTTCCTAAACTAATACATTTCTTAGATACTGTTTCATGACTTGACAGTGAAGCAAGATGCTTGGAAAGGGAAGTCTTCATGAATAACAGACCTGGCCACAGAACAGGACGATGATAGAACTTGAAATATCAGAGCGACAAATCTAGTTGTTTCACAGATCCAAACAAAAAGTAACTTGAGAACCAATCTCCCATGACCCATCTAAGCTGAGAGCTAGAGCCCTGAAGCTCTGGAAGAACTTTACACTGTAGAGGAGTAAACACCATGCCCTAGCAGTTATGTCTGACCTTTCAGGGTTATAGCACATTGTCATCTACAAAGTGCATATTGAGAACTGAGTGATCAGGTCACAAAGAAAAAAATCTAAAGATGTTTTGTGTTTGGGGCAATGGCTCAGTAGGTAAAGTGTTGGCTGCTGAAGGGTGAGTATCTGAGTTCAAATCCCAGAATCTGCTTAAAGCTGGACATGGTAGCATACATCTGTAATCCCAGAGCCCCCGTGAGGAAAGGAGAGGCACAGACAAAAGAATCCCTGGAATGTTTAAAGCCAGGTTAGGCCTTTATATACAGTGGGAAAAGACAAGGGGCCCTCTCTCAAATAAACTAGAAAGTAAAGACTAATAAACTAAACTAATATGATCATTGGCCTCCGCACATATGTTGTTGTATGCCAATACCTACTCTCATACAAATGAATGATTACACACACACATTCACATACACACACATATAAAGATTTAAAATATGTAATAATGTTCCACAAGTTTATGATTTTGTATTGGGCTGCATTCATAGCTACCCCGAGTCACATGTAGCCTGCAGACTGTGGCTTGGCTGCACCTGAAAATGGGCTCCAGTGCTTGAGGCAGCAAGTTGACAGTCAGAATTGCTGCTCAGCTTGACCGTGATGGCAGTGTTACATGACTTGAAAAGGTAAAGAAACACACACTGGCCAAGAAGGTTTAGAGTCCACTGGATTTCAATGTGAACGTGAACATTAGGAACCCTTACATTTGCAAAAAAAAAAAAAAAAAAGTCAACAAGCCAAGACAGTATTAGCAAAGAAACGTTCTTGAAACTATAAAATGCAAGCAATTCAGAGAAGAGAGACTGTGTAGACCTTGTCTTACTAAGGTATAGGGTGGCTGGGAAGATAGTTCAATGAGATAGCACTTGTTGAGTATATGTGAGATCATATCTACTTCAGTTCCCAGTGCTTTGGGGGAGGTGGTATTATGAAGGTAGGAGACACTGGACAGTGGTTGACTTAATGAGATACAATCTGTCACATATGTATCTCAGCTAAAGCCTGCAGGGTTTCCAAAGACCCTTCAGAACAGAACTGGCTTTCTTTCTCAGCCCCAGTTAGTCTACTACAGCCAAAATATTCACTTTATCCTCTTTGCCAAACAATTTCCCCCTCAAATGGAAACCAACATTCACTTCTCACAGATGCTTTCACCCTCCTTTCTCCTAGAAGTCTACTTTTTATCTTTATTCTTCATCAATATTTACAGACCTTTTGTTGTAACTAAATGTACATACAAATAACACAGCATGTCTAAAAACTGTTGAGTATTGAAATGTCATATGCTCTATTACTGGAAAAAAAACAAACCTTGTGGGATGTTTGTTTTGAAACTAATAACTTTCATAGCACACTCAACACTGTGTAACCAATAACCCTGTGCTGTACACTGTGACATACTTAGCAATCTGGGAACTGGGTCCCTGTGTGCCACAATCAGAAAGTTTGATCAGAGAAGCACATGAAACACTATAAAGCTGCAGTTGGTCAAGAAGAGTAATACCAAGGAAAGTTGGAATACACTCTTGGAACAAATGGAGGGAGGCAGAGACTGGAGGATACGGGTGAGATCCTCCAGCTCGATAGCAGAACCTATCTTGAATGAAGTGAATGCTGTTCCTGAGGATGATATTCAATATTGTTCTCTGGCCTCCAAATGCATATGCATGTACTCAGGTAGTCACATACATATGATGACTCAGAACACCACACACACACACACACACACACACACACACACACACACACATGCACACTCACACTCACACGCACACATACAGGCATACACACACAGAGTCAGGAGATCTTTGTTGTGAAGTTATAAGCTGACACCCATGACACAATAGCAGAAAAGAAATAAAACCATGAAAAACTACTTTAACCAGCTATCATGATTGACTTTCGTTCTTCAAGCCCACAGATCTGCTGCTGACATGATCTGAGTTGAGGTTGTAAGTGACTCTTGCAAAGCACTTGTGTAGTCATTAAGCTCAAAAGCAGATTTGGTCATGACAGTTTCTTTATATTATGTGATCTATGTAGTCCAAGAGAGTGTATTTGATTTTCCTTAAACCCATTTCCTAAACAAATTCCCACAAAACGTATACTTAAAATATGGCATAACACACTCCTAGAACTTATGCATTCCTCTTAAACCTAGCTGTATTTTTCCTAAGAAGATACATGTGATTTCCCTCTGGGTTCTTGATTGACAACTCCATATTGCCCAATATTTCTGGAGAATGGCAGTGATGATAATTTTCATTTGGTGGGCTTTTTTTGCAGTTAGAAAGATATTTAGCTAACAGATGAACATTAACAGAAAAGTCTTTTAATGAATAGTTGCCTACAAAAAGATCATCTTAATTTTTGAATTAATTATGAAACAAAAATTGTATACTACATGGATTTAATGATATTATTCATTTATTTGTGTTTTAATTGCTCTGATTGCTTCCTTGTTGGTCAAAGTGTCTGCAGATTTTCAGTGTTTCAGTGAATTCTGCACATGCTGACCTTTTACAATCCTGTCATCTCTCTGGTACCCACTTGTCATCCCCTCTGTGATGGTTAATATTGGTAAGCTCTAGAATCACCTAGGAGATAAACCTCTGGATATGCCTATGAGGGATTTTGTACTTTCAGGTTAATTGAAGTAAGAAGATGTGTCCTAAATCAGAGTGACACCATTCCATGGGCTGGGGAACTGGACTGCATCAAAAGGAAAAGAGGAATTAGCATTCCTTTCTCTCTGCTTCCTGACTGGACCAGTTGCCTTATTCCCCCATGGCCAGAACTTCCCCACTATCATAGATTGTATTCCCAAACACTATAAGCCAAAGTAAATCCTTCATCTTTTAACTTCTTTCCATCTTGGGAGGGTCACAGCAATGAGAAAACTAATGAACACACACACACATCCCAACTAGCATTCAGTTAACATTCTAACACTGCTGGCATGCATGTTTCGCATCACTCCAAAGTCCCAGCCTGCTCTTCTTCCATTTTATTCATCTTCTAGGTTCAATCCACTGCTATGCCCTACCAAAAACTAAGAACAGTCACAGCTCCAAAATCTCAGAACAGTCATAGCTCCAATGCTCACCCCTTTGAACCCCCCTTTCTCTCCCTGAAGAAAAAAAAAAGCTTGGCTTTGAAGTTGCACATTTTTTCTCTACCAGCTGTGTGACCTTTCAGGCTCAGCATGGGATTAGTTTGTTCATCTAAATCCAAAACGTTGTCAGTTCTCAAAAGTCCATCAGAGTTGGTATAGGGAAAGCGCCTTTGGCCTTTTCTTCTGAGATCAGTCTGCTAGTGCAAAATATTACAGTTCTCTGTACAGTGTCTGTATGCTGACTGATGGGGCTCCTTTTGAGAATCAGACACATGTCAGGTACCTCTCTGGGTACCAATTCCAGGAAAGATGTATTCTCTTAGCCCTAGTTGGTAAATACTTCCTCCTCCTGGAAGAAGGGCCTGGGACAGCAAAGACAGAACTCAGCTCTCTGAATCCCAAACCTCATTATTCCTTGAGGAGGCCCCAAAGTGGCATAAATCTCCAAGCACAGAATGGATGAGCATTGGCAAGGCCACTGCTGTTGCTGATATTTGACCAACCACTAGCCGAGACACCAACTGCTAGATACAAAGGATTTCGAGGACTGTTATAACTTTCCTACTGACATTTGGCCCCTGAAATGCCTTGTGCACTCCACTAGCCACTGTAGAAGGAGATGAAACAAGATGCAATGTATTATTATTCTTTGAATTTGAAGATGCCCATGACTCTGACTGAAATTGAGATGGGCTGTGATCCTGATCTCTGCCATATTTTTCCATTTTATAAAGGAAAAAAAATTAGAGAAAATGAACAGTGTTTCTGAAAACTAGATCATGAGAGAATAAAGTGTTTTCATTTGGAACCCCAACCAAGCAAAGACATCTGTATCAAGATGCACATTTAAGCAAGTCCATTGGTTCCTCTGAATAGACATACCCAATGGCTTTGTGCCAGTTAGACCTGCAAGGTTGGTAACTAAGACAAGAAAATCATGATGTTAAAGCTGACTGTTAAAGACTTGAGCGGAACCTGTGATAGTGCAGAACTAGCACTAAGCACAACACAATAGAGAAAGTGAGAGCAAGAGGGGGTGATTGCTCTGAAGCAGCTAGAATCTGCATACTAGCCGCCCCCCTCGGTAGAACAGGATTTTGAATGCTAGCCAAAGCATCTTGGTAGGGGAATAGGATAGACTTGGACACTATGGCCACACAACCCTGATCTCCTCTGATCTCAGAAACTGGGCAAGGTTGGGTATGGCTAGTACTTGGATTGGAGGGCAGATTAGAGATGTAGTAGAGCAGAGGCTTATGTTCATCAACACTTATGTTGGTGATGAAATAAAGTTATAGTAGAGTGTTGCACACCATAAAAGCACCTTTGTGTCCAGC